CGCTATTTATAGGGGGGACTATTGCCATATATATGTAAAAAGAAAGCTTACCTGAAGTGATCACCTTGTCAAGAGGTACATTACTTTCGAAGGAGAGTACACCAATCACAGAGAAGATGACAAGTCCATTAAACAGTCCGTAACACACGGTCATTGCAGTGCTAATGATAGGATCTCTATGGAAACCAATTATACACAATGTACAACTTCACATCACAGTGCTGATAACAGCGTCTCTATGGAAACCAATTATATACAATGTACACATTCACGTCACAGTGCTGTTAACAGCGTCTCTATGGAAACCAATTATACACAATGTACAACTTCACGTCACAGTGCTGATAACAGCGTCTCTATGGAAACCAATTATACATAATGTACACATTCACGTCTTAGTGCTGATAACAGCGTCTCTATGGAAACCAATTATACACAATGTACCCATTCAAGTCACAGTGCTGATAACCGCGTCTCTATGGAAACCAGTTATACACAATGTACACATTCACGTCCCAGTGCTGTTAACAGCGTCTCTATGGAATCCAATTATACACAATGTACAACTTCACATGACAGTGCTGATAACAGCTTCCCTATGGAAACCAATTATACACAATGTACACATTCACGTCACAGTGCTGATAACAGCGTCTCTATGGAAACTAGTTATACACAATGTACACATTCACGTCACAGTGCTGATAACAGCGTCTCTATGGAAACCAGTTTTACACAATGTACACATTCACGTCACAGTGCTGATAACAGCGTCTCTATGGAAACCAATTATATACGATGTACACATTCACGTCACAGTGCTGATAACAGCATCTCTATGGAAACCAATTATACACAATGGCACAATACTGAAAGCTGCGTCTTCATGGAAATGAATATACAATGTACATACTTAACGTTACAATAATGTCAAAAGTGTCACTATGGAAACAAATGGTACACATATATAACCTCATACATTTATAACTACGTCTATATGAAAACTAACTTTAAACTATTACATACATCAACAAGAGATCCAAGAGGGAGCTTGGCGCCCACAATTGTATCATATTCATTAGTTTTATGTCAGCTCGATCTTTTCTCTTTTTTTCTCTTATATTTGATCGAGTCATGTAAACAATAAATGCACCTTGATGTAACTTGATTTAAACTTCATATTGCTGTGAATAAAGGACAACTAACCTTCTAAGTGAGTTTGTCAGTTCACATATTTACTGGTACAGTACTTAATGTAAAAATATAGAACAGATAATTGCAAAATGAGAAAGTTCAGTTAGGTTCTTCCTGCAGCCATCTTGATCACTCTCTAAATAGCACATGCATAACTAAGGACCAAGGGGAATTTGAGAAAGATCCCTCAAGTTCTTTCTGAGAAATAGCGATAATAAACATTTACTGTCAAAAATCAAAGATAGCCGCCTGTCGACCATTTTGTTGATACGATCAGCCTCAAAAGTACACATGCACAACTACAGACCAAGGGGAACCTGCATTACAAATTTGAGCATGATCCATTGAGAACTTTCTGAGAACTACCAAAAACAAACCACAACTGTCAAAATTCAAGATGGACATCAGTCAGCTTTTTTGTTTAATCGATCAAAAAAACATGCACAATCAGATCAAGGGGACCCTACATATCAAATATTTGAGAAAGATCCCTTAAGTACTTCAAGGGAAAAAGCGATAACAAACCTTCACTGTTGAAATCCAAGACGACCGTCTGTCGGCCAGTTTGTTTATCTGATCAGTCCCAAAAGTAAACACGTACAACCAGGAACCGAGAGGAACCTATACATAAAGTTTAAAAAGATCCCTTTGGTGCTTTCCTGTGAAATAGCGATAACAAACCTTCACTGTCAAAATCCGAGATGGCTGCCTAACGGCCATTCTGTTTATCTGATCAGTCTCAAAAAGTAAACATGCACAACGTTGGACCAAGGCGAACCTACATATCAAATTTGAGAAAAATCCCTTCGGTACTTCTTGAGAAATAGCGATAACAAGAATTGTTCAAGGACGGACGACGGACCATAGACGAAGGGCGATTTGAATAGCCCACCATCAGATAAATAAACTGGTTTTGATGCTGATAACACTGTCGCAATGTGTACTTTTATCCGATTCTAATTAATAAATATAAAAAGAGATCCAAATTCAAATTCATACATAATAAAAAAAAAAGCTGAAAGGCAGTCACTGATATTTGTAACACACTGCGACACATTTAAAAGAATAACAAGGTCTGAATGCCATCGTGCCACAGTATTTATGTAAATACTGTTTTCGTTATGCATTTCGACAGCGGTGTCCAATTGCATTGTTCATCTGCTGTTTTATCCGATAAGTATATGTCATCAAAAAGCTACAACATATTTAAATTTTCAGTATTGAATATTATTCAACCTCATCTCTATAACAGCGAATTTAATTTGATGATACTGATTAAATAACTGGATAATAAAACATCACGTCGCCCTCATTCGCTTAAATTTCCCCTATCATATTTTCCATAAATCCAAAGCCTATAGACAAACCGACAAAAGCCACCATAACCTTATTCCGAATGACGGTAACAGATGACAATAATGGCGTGTCAACCTGATAATCTCTACTATTGTGAGGTTGATGGGTTTTTTTCGGAGTAATGAAACAATTATTGCTCTTACAGTAGAGGATCACGATCCTTTGTTTTTTCATCTATTAATCATGTCCACACAGTAAGGGAAGAAAATGTCAATTGTACTGCTATGACCTAATTTCAACGACCAGGCATTATCTTAGAATTAAATACTATGATTAATAACATAATTGTAATAGTTAAATGTTGGCCCGACACTTTGATTTACACCAATTCACAATAGAGGCAACTGAAACAGAAGAAAGAACACGAACATAATCTAAAAAACTTAATAATGAGCACACTTCTTTTATGGCAGGAATATACAGACCGGTCCCGCCCGTGCATCCATAGCGTTTCCGGGCTATGACTCAAAAACCGCTCAAGATAACTTGATGAAACTTTGTATGCACATCATTACATTGGTCTAATGATGGCTTTTTGTATAAGGGAGTATTAATTTTCCGTGTTACAATAGAAACAAATACCTAGAAATGATAATTGGTTGTTTCCGGATCGTATGTCAAAATCGTGAGATAATTTTACCATATCTTCTAATAACATCAATCAGGTTGTCTAGTGGTGCTGTTTCCTATTCACCTCTGCAGGTCGGGGATCGAGAAAAAGAATACACCTTCTGTGCCATCTACTTGGGGACACAAAAGCGACCAAAATACATCTGCTGTACCAACTGAATTATTTTGGATCTTTATATTTCTTTTTACTTTTCACTACCTTTTTTCCCCTAGCACCTTGCTTGTCAGGGCGGAATGCTGTGCTGGATGCCTTTGGCATGGTTTTTCAGTGAGGTATCGCTATAAAGGCATCATATCCGCGCTACCAAAAGGAAGCAAATACACCAACATATCATGGCTCCTGCAATCACGCACACACACACACACACACGCAAGCACAACGCACATGGAGGCACGTCCTTTAATTAACATGTCTGTTTATAGGACGTTAAACAAAATAAACCAAACCAAGCAAATCTTTTCCTATAATGGCGTTTTCATTTTCGACATTTTTTACCATAGAAACAAATAGCTAGAAATGCAAAATTCCTTGTTTGCGGGGAATCTCTTAAAACATCGTGTAGGATAACTTTACAGAACAAATTTTATTTTCATCAATCTGCTGTCTAGAAGTGCCTTTTACTACAAGTGTGTTTCCTTTTTCGATGTCTTTGCTGTTACCATTGAAAGCATTCTAAAGATTGTTGCCCATATCTCAACAAAAGTACCACAGGGCGGCGCAATAAACACTTATCTCATGCCAAACAGACATACATAAAACCCTTCTGATGCAGTTTCTAAATGTTGTATATGCGAGAAGAAACTGTTTTTGTACTGTATTACTCGTTAACGTTGAGAATTATTTCTGAAATGTTGTGAAAGGAGAAAACCTACTGTACTTGACCAACTTAAGATGAAGTATTATATTAAGTTCATATTTCCTTTGACATTTATAAAAGGATATATCTTTTTAGTAGAATGTTCAAATTTTAAACACATTCGTGATGATTACTTTCGAGTCGCGGATATGAAAACTGTTTTCAGTTCCGTGGACTCGAAGGCATTATTTAACTATTTGAAAGACATCGGTCTGTTCTATAGACTCTGATGTCAGTTAACCTACCTTACCCTCTTTGACGTTACATATATCACATATTCCATATAATCTATTCATTATCTCTTTGATTATTTAACCCCTTTTTATTTTAATTATTTTCACACACAATGCTTTTAAAAATATTCATGACTATTTTATTTTATCTTATGCTACTCTCATATTAGTTTTTATAAAAAAAGAAAAATGGCCCTAAATGACCACAGTTGTCGATGGGCCGTTAAACCTTTCAGAAAGGTGTATGCTTATAAACTATGTGCAGGCTTGGCTCACCTTTAAGTTCAGCATTTGTCATTGTATGATGTAAATATTGACGACGTTTCATCAGAATCTGGTCATGTTTGACCAAGTTTTTTGCAGAAACTGTTAACCAATAAGAGCACAATCTAAACTTTGAACGATATTTAAGCAATTTATCCTGCGGAAACCAAAGTGCGTGCGGACGGATGCTCACCACACCATAATACGTCCCGTCAAAATTGTTGACGAACAAATGAAAAAACAAAAGAAAAGAAAAATCTTTTTATTTAGATTATCAAAAATAATTCAAGATAGAGATCAAATTACTGCAACAGGAAATTTTCGCCAATGTCTAAATTTTTGAGTAACGAGTTCGAAATAATCATGAAAGTCAATACTTTTACACAACATTATATATATATTGATTACTTGTGAAGGGTATAAAAAAACTCTCTTAGAAAATTGATTTTTATAGTGAAGGGTGAAAGTTTCCTGGAATAAAGTATTTAATATTTCATGGTCAGGAAAATGGTAATAGTCAGTTAAAATTATTCTATTTTAGGGGCTACATATAGTGTGTTTACAATAGATTAAATAAAAAGCAGGGAATAACTTGTAAAATCATGATGTTTTAAAAAGAGATGCATTCCAACGGATACCTTTATTAGTTGTAATGTTGACTTATGAAATATTCAGGTCATAAAATCATAAACCATAAAAGCGTAAATCGCAAATTGTCTATGTAAATAATTACGTTGTTATGTCTATTTGGTGTCCACGGAATTGCGATATCACATTACACGTGCTTGTCTCCATTGATGGCGTCCATCTCGGTACTGTCACCTCCATATTCTGTAGAGAACTTGTCACATCCTCCACGTCCCGTCAAATTAAACAGTGCAAGCCTCCTCAACGATCGTTCATACCTTCGTTCTAAATTCCGAAAGACGCGCTTGGTGCTCTCCTCGGCAGGCTCCCACTCGACCGAAGGTTTCAGTAGGGACATGCATCTCTGTCAAGTATAATTAACTTAAAAGTTTAAAAGTTTGAGACGAAATTAATCCATTTCAGAAAATGACAGCCTTCTCTAATTCATAAACGGCAAATGGTAATTGCATACAAAATTTCATGGAAATGCTGCAGGTATTGCAAGCATTCCGGATACAAAAGCAGTATTTTAGACTCTCTGATGTGGTCTTGCTAAAATTGTATAATAATGACGAATGCCTGAAAACATTTGTTTTAAAACGAGGTAAACACTATCTCCTGCACTCATACGCACAACACGCATACATTACAAACACGGAGGCATGACCTTAAATTTAAATGACCTGCGCTGTTCAAACCAAACCAATCAAAGTCATATGCAACAATCAGTAATGTAATTGTACTTACATATTTTAAAACTCGGCTTCATAAAACCTTGTTCGTCAGAAACGTGTATCAAGACGTACAGAAACTTACCTACCGTACCATAATTTAACAAACGTGTATATTTCTAACTTGCGTGAGCTTTTATTTAATTCTTAAAAGCGATATACGTCTATTTATACTTTGTATAGTCAGTCAATAGTTCATATAGATGCAATGGTCAAGGGGAAGTAAATGCGTCGCATGTTACAAACAAAAAATCTGATTGATTCAAAGTATACATAGAGACATCAAAATCATATTTGTTTTACAAATTACGTTTTTATATTGCTTGAAATCTTATATAATAAATGAATGTTTATAATTGATGTTCAAATACGGGTTGAAACATAAACAGCTAACCAAAATGTACGGTCAAACCGCTGGTGAGTAAGGTCCGAGGATGCCAGATGATTGGTAAACAACGATCCATGACAGTAAATTATTATTATTGTATATACTATTATACGCGTCTGTTAGTGTGTTTGGTAATATAATTAATGATTAAATATACAAAAATATATATAAGTATATAAAAAAGAACCTGTGATAATACCAAATAATTAGATATTATATTTGTAGATTGTTTTGTTGTCAACATATGTATACATATTTCCTGTCAATGTTGATCAGAGGCCTGTTCGTTTATTGATTCGGAACAACCGGTTTGTCTGTTTTTATATGAACATTTTCGCGTATAAATAATGACGGACCTGCAAATGTTTATGCAGTCCATGCAAGGTTTTTTCAAGGCTCGCCTAATAATAGCATCCGATAACTAGGTCCGGCCTTAATTCATAAACGAACAATTTTGGTCCAACCGATTCATACGTTTGGATCGCAATAAACAAAAGCGGATCAGATGTCAAAATTGATTTTTTTACTCTGTCGTCACAACTGACTATTCGATTATCAATCCAGAGAGGTGAGCAGCAGTCTATCTGTTTAAGACTTCTTCAAGATTATTTTTAACTATATACAAGTTATCCCTGTTGTGTGTTGTCTATATATTTCACACTTTTTTGACCTCTTAACGGTTTCCTTTATATGTGAGGTAGAAATCAACGTCTAACCTACCAGATATGTGATCAATATCTGTCATATTTCAACATTTCAGCAAATACAGTACCATTCATGCAACAACTTAAACAATAAAAACTTTGTAACGTGTTAATATGTAGTGTCAAGATTGCTGTCGTCTACAATAAGTAATCGTCTTGTTTTGAAAAATAAACGATCGCTGTGGAAAGGATTTGATTAACTAATGTGTCTGTACCGTCGCTGTTGTTGACGTGCTTAAATAAACATACCTCCTTCAGAGAGCCCTCCTGGTTCTTGACAATCCATAGCATATAAATGAAACTTGGAACAAGTGGTATGATAGCAAAACACCATCCGATTCCGCGGGCGTAGTCCGGATACTCGTATGTACCGTAGGAGGGGGGTTTGTACGTAAATATGCTCACAACGACTAAAAACTGAAAATATATAAAGAATCCTACATATTAACCGACTAATATATCATCGCAAAAACGTACGATTTATTAATTCAAATTGTAATCAAACTTTATAGCTTCAACGTTGGAAATGTGATAATATACAAACCATGAGAACAGTTGGTGTAATGAAGGCCGTTGAGACCCGTACAGACACAGGTAATGGTCTTCCAAGCATCAGCTTGAAGTCCCTGCTCAGTCTGTCGCCACCTAAAATTTATAAAATTTAAGTTCTTGATGGCTATGTGAATTTTCACCCAATACAAAACCAAGGTAATGTAATCACCCAATACAAAACCAAGTTAATGTAATAAAGTGATTGAAATTAAATACAATCTACATTGTACTCAACTTTGATGAAACAATGATAACATATGAACAGAGAAAGTGCATCTAACCTAATCATTGGTATCTAGCCTAATATCTACTATTGTAATTTACAAATCTAGAACTGTGCTGTTGAGAAAAGGACTAAAGCGTTCACGAGACAAACGTTATAAGGTGTCTCAGAAATATTTGTAGTTTTTCATTTTGTTTTAAGTCTTATTAAGGATGTACTCTTCTGAGGTTTCAATCACGTTCAAGTCTCGTTTTGATCTTGTGTAATGGGTTTTTGTAATATTTAACAACTTATGATCAAGTTTATTAGCAAACACGCATCTAAAAAATATGTCAAAAAACTAGATGCCTGTTGTTTGTAGAACTTTTTTTACAAGAATTTTGAAAAATTACCAATTCGGCAGCCATTTTGAAAATGTGTATTATTGTGTAAATCTTGTGCTTCAAAAAAGGCCAAATTTTCACCTTTTTTGGCACTAGATTGATCACTTAAATTGTCATTTAGTCGCCATTTTTAATTGTAGCAGGTTCATTTTTTGCTGTACAACTTTATAATGTTCAATATGATAAAAATAATATGCAACAAACTGGAAAATTATACATTATTGATATTTTTTTTACGTATTTAGTGTAACTGAAGCACTTTTGATTTTTGACCCCGAAAAAACTAAAAAATAACACAAATGATAATGGGACAAAAAAAGAAGCACACTGACCCCCCATTTTTGTAGATGTTTTAGAAAGAGAAACACGTTTTCATTTAATTCATTAAATATTAAAAAAAGTTAAATACCAGAATTTTTTATATCAAGCGTTTAATCTGTAAAAAAATGGTAAAAAATGAGTATTTTTTCATTAAAAAATAGGGGGTAGGGGTAACTAAAATCGGCTTTTCGAGTTAAAACAATAAGATTAAGAAATTTTACTTCCATAATTTAAAAGAAAATAATATTTTCAACAATTCTACAAACATTTATACATATCTGATAACACACTTGGAAGAAATTGCATGAATTTGTTCTGCAAGTGGTCAAAACCCAAAAAATCACCTAAAATCACATGTTGTGGTAAATTGGTATCTTTGACCGATCATAGCACAAAAACGAGCACACGGACATATNCAGACCCTTTTTTTCTTCTCAATGTCTCCAGACACAAGAAAACCTCCAATATTACTGGGACCCTATATTAGTCACATGGTGATACAGCATGCCTATTCTTTTCCCGAAGCTGCTTGGGCGAGAATAATTGGTAGAGTAGTGGATATAAATGTGCTGGGGATGTTTAGGATTTCGCTTCCTCGAAACTGAACAGCTTAGCTTAAATGAAGACGGAGCCCGAGACGATCAAGCCGCCCACAGTGCCATTTCAGATTAGTGTCATAACCCGAACACTGCAGCATGGTATTCCATACCTGGCCACATACATAACAACACTAAGAGGTATCTTTTTCATATTGTCACATATTGAAATTAAGCATTAAATGGTTGGTGGTAAGGACTAGTTAGCCCGTTGTCCAGTATAATGTGACCGGGTGGAGTGGTTGGCCCGTTGCCAGTATATTGTGACCGCCCAGTTTGTAATGCTACCCTGTCTACGTTTTGAAATTAAAATGAGCACTTTTAGAGAGGCTTTTGATTTGCATTTTGATCCATGGAAACCGTCTTATATGACCTTTTTCAGTTTCCAGAATGCAAACTCTCAAACAAAACAAATAGGCAACAACATTGGGCGCTATTTGTTTTTCTGAAGACATTTTTATTAACGGCAAAATATTGCTATCACATAGAAAACAACACTTTTAAACACAGGTATGCTATTTTTTTTGTACACAATCATATACCTACCGTACACCCAGGCAAACACGATAGACTCTGCAACAGCTATAAGTAAAATACTCCACGTAGCAGCATACCAGTCTATAAGTTGGAACATGTAAATACCAGCCTGAATTAAACAAAAAAGTTCGTATTTTAATTCCCTGGCATCCTTACCAGGAGCTGGTTGCTTTAAATATATAAAGTTGGTTTTAAACTTGTAACCTGTAACATAAGTAGAATTTCAATTTGCACGGTTATAAGCTCACCTGGCCCTAAGGGCCGAGTGACCTTATGTCATTTGAATGACCTTGACCCACTTTCAAGGTCACATTTGGTCAGATATATTTAAACCTTTGAATTACCTATTCTCATTAAACAAAAGGTCTAGTTTGGTGATATTTGGCAAGTTGCTCCCTGAGATGAAGGACTATAAAGTTTGTTCAACGTAATGTAATGACATTGTTCGACTTTTGAGGTCACAGGGGTCAAATGTAATAAAACATTTTAACATGTTGTTTTGAATGACTTAAAGTCATGAATACTGATATTTTGCCTGTAGCTTTATTTTTAGATCTCTTTTGAGGTTACAATTGTTCGATTAATACCGTGTGAGCGATGCAGGCCCATTGGGCCTCTTGTTATTAATTTCATAAGATTCCATTATATTTTACAATGTAAAAAATATGTTATTTCGAGAACTTCCGCACGTTTAAGAATATATTATATATATACAGTGCCATCCCTATATATATACAGTGCCATCCCTATTGTTCTCGAGGCCATTACATGCACCTTAAAATAAGTATTTCTATCACATTTCATTATTCCTCACCAATCGTTTGTTCCAATTTTATCAAAGCATCATGAACTTCTGAAGAATGGACATGCCTAGGGTTATGATATTTGGGTGATAGCTTTGTTAGTAAAAAGCCCAACATAGTTTGAGAACTTAGTTTCAAAGTCACAGGGGTCAAAAGTGTCAATTACTTTCATCGACTTCTGAAGAACTGAAAGGTATAGTACGTATAGTACGTAATAGTACGTAACCGTGTGGGGCGTCTTGCTGGGTGTCTTCGGTAGTATGTTTCAGTGAGGTAGCACTATAATGTCGGCATCAGTTCCGCGCTATCACAAGAAGACAAACACGAACATATCCCAGCCTCCCAAAATACACACACATACACTACACGCGTGAATATTGCACACTGGGGATGCCGTCCTTACATGACCTTAGCTGTTAATAGGACGTTAAAAAAATAAAACCAAACCAAACCAAAGTACGTAATGTATGTGGCTGGTAGCTTCTTTGGATGGAGCCTGACAAAGTTTGAGAATGAAATGACCTTTACCTACTATCAAGGTCACAAGAGTCAAATATGTTAAACTTATCAAACGACTTCTTCTGAATAATCGAAATGCATAGAATCATATTAATTGGCCGGTTGCTTTTTGGGATGAAGCCTGACCAAATTTGAGAATAAATGACCTTGACCTACTATCAAGGTCACAGGGGTCAAATATGTCAATCAATTACAGGGGTCAGCTATGTCAAACACTTCAAACAGCTATTTCTGAAGAACTGAAAAGTAGCCTAATCTTGATATTTGTCAGATAGCTCCTAGGGGTTGAGCTTGCGAATGAAAATTACCTTTACCAACTTTCAAGGTCACAAGGGTCAAATATGTCAAACATATCAAACGACTTCTTCTGAAAAATCGCAATGCATAGAATCATATTATTTGGCTGTTTGTTTTTTTGGGATTGAGCCCGACAACGTCAAGGTCACAAACTAAATAATTTGTGATATTTAACAAGTAGCTTCCTTAAATAGACCCAAACAAATTTGACAAATGAAAATGACATTTTCCAACTCTATCCTATAGCTTTATCTTAATTTAATTTGATATATTAGGCCCAACATTATTCAATGTTGTAGAAATCATGTCCCTATCCCAATGGGGATAGGAGAATGTGACCCAATTAGGTAACGGTGTTTGCTGAGAGACAGGGAGAATATTTGGAAATATACGTAGTGCAGTATGATATGTATTTAACATTTTGCTATGGCTGCTTAGATATCCAGGTGAGCGATACAGGCCCACTGGGCCTATTGTTTCTTTATGGGAACATTGTATTCCGTGAACAGATGATCCCTTTTCATCAAGAAACGAAATACTATTTTTCTTTGTTTTTCTTTATAAAGACATTATCTTCTGTTAATAGATAATCCATTTGCCGCCAAAAGATATTGAGACAATGAATACTATATTGCTACATCACTGTAGGAAAACATCAGATGTAAGAGATGTCACAATTGACAATGCCAAAACCAGATCTCTGATTGGTCGGTTTAATATGAAGAATATGAATTGTTACAGAAGAACTAAATCATTCCGGAGTAGTGAGGGGATATAACATTTCGTTCGTACGCATGTTCAAATTTTTGTCAGCGCTTTAGCAATTTCATTTTTGGAAGGATCAATCATCTTAAACTTCATTTCTTTGTAAATAAGAAACATATGTAAGAAACGTGTTTCAGGATGCCTATATCAAGGTTATCATTACTGATAGAAAGATTGTCGGCGTCAAAGGGCTAAGTTACCCCTTGAAATTTTGATCATACTTTATTTATTGTTTAAGTTTGAGTAAGCCTCGAACGATTTTATGTTTCACTTTTTATAGATTTGTTTTTCATTTCTATTACTGTAGATTTTTTTTGAAGAATAGCCGCACAAGTTGGCTAAATGAAATATTTCCGACTTTGTGTTTTTCAAGACAAGTTTAAAATGAAAGTATTTGAAACATTTTCAGGACGTTACCAATCCAGTTTCCAACGTCAATTTTTCACATTAACACTGGCAAATAGCTTCATTCAATACCACAGTATATAAACGAGGCTAGTATCAAATGTGTTATAAATAGCAGATAGATATCGAACGTATTTTTGCTGTAGATAATGAATGAGATAATGGAATTCCAAAAAACAGAACCGGTCGTACCTGTGTGGCCAGGGGTATTCCACAGATAAAAGTTATCACAGTGACTCCTGTCAGAAGAGGGAGTCTTCGTCTTCCGATTGTTTTAGGGAAGTTTTCTTCAATCACACAAAGTACGGGCTCCAACAAAAGTGTCTGTAAGACAGTAATTTTCGATATAATTGTGATATACACTTGACTGACAATCTACTCTTTCTAAGCCCTGTAAGTTCGAAGAAAGAATAGGCCTGCTGTATTCCACCTTAAGTTATGAGATCCGACTTGAATGGGGACCCTTGTAGAAACGGGATTTTCTGCGGTGTCCTATGCTTTGTGAACAATTGAAAAATCAAAATTGAAATGCGGTTCCCATTAAAAACCAGGGATTAATATAAATATATATATTTCTATTTTCACTTTCCTAAACTTTCTTATCGATGGTGTCTTCATGTGACCTTTTAACTGTTTCTGGGACGTTAAACATCAAACAAACAAATGAACAATATCCTAAGTTGGACGTACATAAATACTTAATACTTAGCTATAGGTGTATATGTGCATTAAAAATAATGGAAATCGATGTTTTTACGAAGGCATTATACAGAAACCAAATAATAAATCAAAAGATGGTAGCAACATTGAGTATGAGTAAATTTTGTTTAACGTCCTCGCAATGGCAGACACCGTCTGAAATAGAAAGTAGATAGAAAAGAAGGACGACAGGAAAGATAGGAAACGAAAAGGTCCCAAGTGTTACAATGGGGGCAGGAGATAAAATTTGGTACAAACTTAATAGTTGCAAATATATGATCTTCTTGTTATCAACGTATTGTCAGGGAGTTTATTGTATGAAAACCATTTCTCCAATTATTTGTGGGTAGCCTCGTTAATTATGCCACAAAATGTACGCATGGAATTGGTTATCGAACTTATCCTGACACCAGGCACAATTAATATGTACCCAAAATGTAGAAATGATCGAACTTATTTTTGGGCTTTACTTCTCAGAAGCTAAACGTTTCAGACAGATGTACGCGCCAAATTTAATATTCCCCGGTTTACAGTAAAACACTTTTTTTCATAATAATATAAAAATCTCAAATCACTTTTCGAAACAGTCAGTATCTCTACAAATTTAACCTATCTAAAAAGGGTTGGACTATTCAAAAAGACATAGCTAACCATAGCCCCTTTTACTTACCAAGCTAACGTTTGGTGTTGACCTTTACGTTCCTTTGATGTCATTTTCTTTAACATGCTATATCTCCTTGTTATGGCCCTAATGAGCTCTATTGTATTGATTGGCCGTTAAGAATCAATGATAATAATAAATTATGAAATCGGGAAATCAAGACGAACCTGAGAATCCATGCCTGGCAGAAAAAGGACAATAAAGAACAAAACGGCCCATACTTGTGGCAAGGGGAAGTAGGTTATAGCCTGTGGGTAGGCTACAAATCCCAGGGAAAATCCACCTACAAGAGAAAAAGAACATGTAACATAGTGCATACTTTTTTTTAGAAATAGAAAAGTAAGCCGTCAATTAGTTTACCATTTACCAAGCCTTCATCAAAACAATTGTGAAGTTAAAATGAAAGAAATGAAATGTAGGTTAGTAACTTATTCTAAAGGACTTTATATATAAGTAGTAAACAGATTACTCTGCTTGATATGGTATTATTTTACCCTATTTGATTTTAAGGAAATTCTTAAATTTACATTTATGCGAATGTGGTGTTATCAGTTCAATGCATATGACATCCTATAGTTTGGCTTGGTTTTGTTTAACGTCCTATTAACAGCTAAAGTCATTTAATGACGAGCCTCCATGTGTATTATGTATGCCTCCATGTACATATGTGTGCTGGAGACAGGGTATGCTAGTGTAATTGCCTCCTTGTGATAGCGCGGATCTGATGCCGACTTTGCCGAAGTTATTGTCCGGATTGCGTTTTCATAGACTGAACGTCAAATGTGATAATTTAAGTAAAAATCCCTCGAACTTCATTTACGATAATTTACAATATTCTCTTGTGACACGAACAACTTACCTGATGTAATTACCTTGTCAAGAGGTACATTACTTTCGTAGGCGAGAACACCAATCACAGAGAAGATTACCAGTCCATTAAATAGTCCGTAACACACCGTTATCACGGTACTGATTACAGCATCGCTATGGAAACAAAATTATACCTTGCATTCTCAATATCGCAGTACTGATAACAAAGTTTGCTATGGAACACGTAACATTAGAAATTTGATTATTTGGTTTCTATGAAAACCACTTTCACATAAAATACATCATATACTGAAAGTGGTGTCGCTATGGAAAAAACGAAACAACTTCACTGCACAATGCTGAGAGCAGCGCCGTTATGCAAACCTACGTTTTCTTTATATCACAGTAATGAAATTTGCATTAAGGAAACAAGCTTTTAGACCTAAAACCATAGTATCACCATAGAAATGTATATTAACTTTTCAATGAATTACATACACTTTGAATAATGTTTTATGGACACAAATTATGCATCATGATAACAAAAAGATTCTACTTAAAAGTGAACCACTAAACAGTCAACCAAAATTATAAAACATTTGCTGTAATACGATATCAACACATTAATTAACTTAGAGTATCAATTGTTAGGCAGAGGATCAGAAAACATTTGTTGAATTTCACCGGAAGCAGTTGTCTGAGAATCTGTTGTGACTTCCGAACATGGCCAGTCCTCCCCAAGCGGGACCCAAAGTGTAGAACGCCATGAATGCCGCCTCTATCCACACCTAACACAAAACGAAACGTGCATTTACATATTATTCATAATTATACAAATAACCACATGTTAACTCGAGCCGCTAGTGATAACATAAACCTTTCAAAAGGCTATGGTTGTCATATGATACAGATTGTTGTACTAATAAGTAACTTACATTATTAACTATTTCTGAAGCTTCACTTCATGGTTGAAAAAGAGGATTTGTCACAATTCCTTTGCAGCATAATGAGTATGAGTAACAGTATCAATAACACCTTTGATCTAAATAACAAAAAACAGGAGATCTACTTTTTCGTAGAAGTTATAACAAACACGTACTTCTGGATAAGCAAGGCGGTTGAAATCCGGTGTAATGAAATACGCCATTCCATTCGTGGCTCCCGGAAGTGTGAGAGCTCTAATCCAGATGATAAAAGTCAGTACCATCGGAGATATTGCTGTCACATACATCATCTGAGAACAACATGTTACAATTTTTTTTAGTAAATCACAAATTATGTCGAATATTCTTACTAAAATGACTCCATTGACACCATAACATCATTCAGGCCAGGTATTAGACATTCGGGTATGGCGTACAAGCTATCAGGCGTAATGTAAACAAGAGGCTATTTTAGATGAATAGAAAAGGGTAAAACAAAGAGTGTTTTAGTGAGTGAAAAAGGTCAATGATGCCTTTTTAGCTCACCTGCCCGAAGGGAAAGTGGCGCAGCGTCCGTCGTCAGTCCGTCCGTCAGCTTTTTTTTCAGCAAATTTGGTCAGGAGCATCTTTTGACCAAGGGTTCTCAATTTTGTACAAATGGTGGGTGTGGCCCTCTGGGTTCAGAGGGGTGGGCCGAATAGGGGGAAATAGAGGTAAACCTGTAAAATTCTTCTTCTACTATTGAGATAAAGGGATTTCGTCCCAATTTGGTCTGGAACATCTATAGGCAAAGGGCACTCAACTTTGTATAATTGGTGGGTATGGCCCTCCTAGGGGTAGAGGAGAGGGGAGGAGAGGGGCACAATAGGGGAAATAGAAGTAAAACTTTTAAAATCCTTCTTCTAGTGTAGGGATAAAGGGATTTTTGACATTTGAAGAAATAATGGATGGATCTTTCTGAAATTTCTATATTTTAACCTCAAATCAAGTATTTTAAACATATCCAGGTGGGCGATACATGCCATCTTGGCCTCTTGTTAAATGTTTCCCAAGCAGAGGTGTATTGCAGACATATTAATGATGCTGACCTGAAAATCACGAACTTAATTCTTTCCCTGAAATATTTTAAAGTCACATATTTTAGATAAATACATTGTAACAAGTGCGCGATACAGGCCAATTTGACATATTTTCATTTTTAAACATTAACGTCTTACCAACAAGAATGTATTGTTGTTTATAGCACTATTAACCCACCTTGCCAATAGACTTGACACTCTTGAACAATGATAGCCAGATTATCACGTGACACGCCAGTAGGTACAGAAGGTATTTCCAGTTCAGCCTGCCAATATCGTCGATGCCAGAAGACATATCCAGGATCTTGTAACTGTTAGATTATTTAAAATGATTAAGTCTGGCGTATTAACACCGTATAATTGCAAAGCAATTTAGCCAATATATGAACAGTGTAATCCTAATTTCATTTACAGAGTATACTAACTTCCAGAACTCCTCGACCGACGACATGTAAAGTGATGTATTATTTCCACCATAAGTCATCGAATTCACCGTTGTAGGATACGTCGACTGGAAAACAAAATTTGTAAATGGTGATCGCTTCTGGATTTTTTTTTATTAAGAATTCAAAACATACAACAGCACAAAACCCTCTCAAAATATACAAAACAAACCCAGGAATTAAGGAGATAACAAAGGAACTGTCGTACCTGTACTGTACTGTTGTTGTAGGTAGAACTGGCATTCTTTATCAAGTACTCGATCGAAGGACCAGATTGGACACAGCTTTGAGTGTTCCACTCGTTGCCGCATGATGTCCAGGGCAGCTCAGTCGAACAGGAAGCTACAATATACTCAATGATCCAAGGTTTTTGCAGCATGATGTAGGTCGCCACAATCCAGTTGATGATTAGAAACGTTATTCCTAGACCTGTTAAAATATTGTATCGCTGATGAAAATCTCGAGGTCAAAAACGTTCATGAAAAGGTCATCCAATTATCGATGACAAAGCCATATTTCCGACTAATTATAAACTTGGTCTGATAACTTTGTCTCTGAAGGTTTCTAGTTTCCGTTTAAATCACCAATGAGTCCTAGTACTGATAAAAAAAACTCATGGAGAAAGTTGTTGATTGTGCCGCATAGATAACATTGAACATTGTTGCAAACTCATTCTAACATCTTTTTATAATCTATTGTATGCATGATATACTTCTAAATTCAATTAATCAGATACAAACCTCTAAACAAGGGACAGAAATCCCACACGCGCCACGTTCCTTTTCCGGCAAATTGTGACATCATTATTTCTAGGAAGTATAATGGAATCCCACACACCAACATGAAGAAAATATAAGGGATTAGGAAAGCACCTGTAAATAAGAAAATAAAATTTTATAATAACGAATATTGAAAAGTTTAGCGAGTATACTGTGAATAATGTCTTTAAAGGAGATAAAAAAAAGTGTAAAACACTCGGTTCACATTGGTGGCTGTCCTAGGGATGTAGTCTTGTGAGGTTCAAATCCCGTTCAAGACTCGTTTTGATCTCGAGTAATGTATTTTTGTAATATTTACCAAATTGCGATCAATTTCAATAGCAAACACAGATCTGAAAAATGTGTAAAAAATAGATGAGTGTTGCTTGTAGAACTATTTTTGCACGAACTTAAAAAAAATGACCAAGTCGGCGGCCATTTTAAAATGTGCATTTCCAGCACATCACAGAAAGTCGCAATTTCACCTTTTTCAAAACCCCAATCGTCATTGTGTTGTCATTTTGAATTGTTACAAGTTCATTGTTACTGTACAATTTTAAAATGTTCAATATGATGAAAACAATATGCAATAAAGTATAAAATTATACAGTACTGTATTTTTCATATTTAGTGTAACTAAAGCACATTTGACTTGTAACCTCTAAAAATAGGAAAAATAACACATAACCTTTTAAATAATTCTTGTTCATGTTAAATTGTCTTAACAATAGCTATTTATGTAGTGAGAGACGAGACACCATTTTATAATGCGACACTCCTACTTCCAAAGATATATAACTATAGCAAGTTTGGTCAACAACATGGAAGTTATGCCGTGGACAAACTTCGGTACTAAAAATAAACAAAGGGCCATAACTCTGTTTATAAAAGGCACGATACTTAATTACATCGCAATGAACACCTTTTGTGGTTAAAGCATGTATACTTCACATTTACTCAAGATATATTTAACGGTTTAGATGTCATGCCGTGGACAAACTTCGATATAAAAATATATACAAAGGGCCATAACTCGGCATATAGTTGGGCACAAGACCATATTCCAGTGCGAGAAATTCCGCATTCCCAAGATAAATAGATATGGTAAGTTTGGTCAACGTAGATGAAATAACATGGAACTCATACTCCGGGCAAACTTCGGTATTGAATTATTAATATTAATATCAAATGCTTAACGGCCCATCAACACATAATAAGTCAATAGGGCCGAAAAAAACACCAATGCAAAAAAAAAAAAAACATCAAACAAACTTAAAGGTTAAAAGACGAACGTCAATTTGAAAATTGAAAGTGGCTATGATGACTCAAATTTTATCGAAAAGACAAACAGCTTTCAGATAGCCTAAAATTGAAGAGACAGTTATGTTTTCAAAAAGATATTTAAGACATGTAATGTTATCATAGAAATTTTCTCGAGTTGACTTAAAGTCGACACAATCTAACAAGAAGTGTTTTACTGTAAATATTTCCTGACACGCTATGCATTGAGGCTGGATATCACGTTTAAGTAAATAACAATGGGTAACGTATGATTGACCCATCCGAACAGCTCTCTCTGTAGCTAGGATGACATTCACCGTTTTAGGTTTAATAGAATGTAATTTGTTATCTACGCACTGATTCCAACTATTTTGCAACTTTGATCTTAGAAATGTTGTAATTAGTGGTTTAAAAACAGTGAAATGAAGTTTAAAATCTCAGGGTGGTAGGAATGGTGCTGCTTTCGCAGCACGATCTGCCTTTTCATTACCTGGTATTCCCCCATGTCCAGGAACCCAGCAGAGGTTATATGACATTTTGAGGTAATATTATGTTATAATGTAAAGATTTTTCAAATTAATAATTAACAATTCTAATTCTAGTGCACTGCAAACTTTCTGTTGGTGATGCAGGTATGCTTCAAGTTTGATTAAGATATCTTAAACGGTTTAGAAGTTATTCTATTGACAACCTTCAATATAAAAGGGCCATAACAATGTATATAGTGGGGCAGACGCGATTTTAGTGCGCGAGATTCCGCTTTCCCAAGATACATTCGAAGGGGAGACATAACACGGATCCCTCCCTTTTTATTGCTGTTACAGAAAGAGAAACCAAATTTATTTTGATTCACAAATAAAACTTTATATATCAAGCATTAAATCTGCAGAATTGGAGATTCGCATTTGAGCCCTATATTCGGGGACACGAAAGCGACCAAAATGAATATGCTACACTCGTTGCATATATGTGGGATTTTTTTCTATTCATTTCTTCTTCGAAGTGCTTTTTATTTCCTTGCTTGGCAACGCCTCACTTTTTGCTTTTATTTTGAACGTTCGCCTAGGTGAGGAAGGCAATGGCCGGGACATACCAAAGTCTTTAAAAATGGTAGTTGTTATTACCTGCTAAGCGTTCATCATTAAGGAAAATGGCGTCTACTGATTCACCATTTATCAGTAGAATGTAACGAGGCGGAATGCTTCGGCATGGTATTTCAGTGAGATAGCACTACAAAGTCGGCATCAGACCTGAGGAGGCAATACTTTTTGTCTTTGTTTTATTTTGTTTAACGTCCTATTAACAGCTCCGTCCTCCCCAGTGTGCAAGATGTATGAGTGTAGTGTATGTGTGTTTATTTTGGGAGGCTGCGATATGATCGTGTTTTCTCCTTGTGATAGCGCGGTACTGATGCCGACTTTATAGTGCTACCTCACTGAAACATACTGCCGAAAACACCCAGCAAGACGCCCCAGCCGGTCACATTATACTGACAACGGGCGAACCAGTCGTCATACTCATAAGTTGCTGAGCGTTAAGCAGGAATAGAAACTATCCATTTCAAGGTGCCACATTATCGGTCCAATTAAAGACGGTAAAGCAACGGCTATTATACGTTTCGTGCGTTATTATGACTGCCAGCGTGTGTGTGACCAACAGAATGGAATTATGATAGTTGGCCCTTGACAAAAAGAAGACAACTCATTATCAACGAGCTCAACAAATTGTGTCAAAGTAACAACTTTTCTAATCTCTGTACACGTGGCGGACGAATCTTTATTAAACACGTCAGTCATCAAACAGAGAGCTTATCTGCGCTCGTTTTCATACTTCTTTGACTATTGCAAGCAAACAAACATGGGGGTAAACATAAAATAGTGACGTTACAATGACGTTTCCCTGTCACATACGATTTGGCGCCACACATCAGTTCCCTCATACATGCAACACGTGCACAACAAGTATGTTCTTTCCTTAATCCCGATATGCAGGGTTTTCCTTATTTGATGTTACCATGCTACGACTACTTTAATCTCTTTAATAAGCCTGCTGTCAGTAGAACACTTACTATCTGATAAATGGTGTACTTGTTTGTTGACTGATGTCAAGATACATTCTAAAGTAATACTTGAGGTACCAGCCGTATCGGGAATACCGTACCGTCAAACATATATTAAATACAGGAAAGAAAAAACAACGCTACCGATATTCCAACATACACACATGGAGGCACGTCCTTTAATGACACGCAGACACAACACACATGGAGGCACGTTTTTAAATGACCTTAGCTGTTTATAGGACGTTAAACGAAATCAAACCAAATCAAATCATGCTATCGATATTAATTTTTCATAATATTGATTTTTCTGCTAGTTTACTTTGACGTCAAAAGATATTGACAGATGTCACCTTGCTTTATATATAAACAGAGTTCAACCGCTTTATTGGTAGAAAATTAAAAAAATATTTTACCGATGAATAATATATTTCTCAGTTGACAAACATAAATGTATATGTCGATTTGCATCTTTGTTAGACGCTTTTCAATTGAGTGATGAAATATTTCTTTTTATTATGTTACGTACTTATTCTCATATATTATAATTGTCAACGTAAGCTGATCGTGTTTTGTACTAAATGAACACTGAAAGTGTGTATCTGAATATTATTCCGCCCTTCTATTTGCCAACTTCGGGCGTCAAATGTCAAAGTCTAGTGTGTATTACAGGCAGTGCGCCTGTCCCCGACAGCAGTCCCGCCCTTCGTTTATCGCGATCAAAACGGTGTGACGGTGTTGGACCAGAGTTCATGAAATAAGGTCGGACTTAGTAATCTGAAGCCCCCGATAAGGTTACCCTTCAGTTTCTTTTTATGACTTCGGTCATTCAATGACATGTCTCTTCTCTATGTTTGTAATGCATGCATGGGTGCTTAAAGGGGCATCACGGTGAAGTTACTTTTTCTTTTGTCTTTTTTTTCAAATACTACATAAACATATCAAGTGATACTCCTTATGGAAAATAACGATCGGTGCATGTATTCTTACGGATAGCTTGTTAAGCTGAAATGGAATTGACAGAAATGCTTTCGCTGTTCATGTTATGAATAAATATCTAAAGCTATTAACCTCGCAAGTATCTTTGTCCGAGTTTGAACACAGAGGAACTTAGTTTAATATGTTAATGGGCATGTATCGGAGAGAGTTTACTTTGTTTTATGCGAAAGGAAGGGATAAGTGACTGGTTAGTTTGATTTTGCCATGAGGCCCTCCAAGGGATAACTGTTGTGATAGCCACGGCGCTCGCGGGATCGGGGTCAAATGAGATACGTGCGCTATTAGATTTACATAATTTATAATATAACCGGGTTCAGTAAAATGGTATGATTTGAATATATTGCTGAATTAAACGGTTTTTTTTTTTTACATAGTACTTTTAAATTAGTACTTATATGAATACCCGGCCTCCTCTGGAGCGAAGACGCAAGATAAAAAAAACATAGCTCTTCGTCAAAAAGCTACGTTATCGCAGCTAGATTTAAAACGTCAAAATGACGGATCAGGATAAATAACTGTGGAAGGAGAACCTACTTCTAGTAAATCGGATCGCATAACATTTTTCAACAGTTCATGTTTTCATATGATGTTGACTTGGAATGTATTATGATTTAATTTTCGACTTCAGATAGAATCGGAATACGTATTGAAAACAGGGGGAAAACATTTGTTTACGTTGTAAAAATGACGCGTGCTACATAAAAGAGGGTCCATTTACAAGAACTCTTTAATCTATGTAAAGTATTGAAAAAATATAATGATCAAGTATTTCAAC